ATTCTGTTAAATTATCTGCAATTATCTCAATAGCAATGGGTCTAGAGGGAATAGGCTATTATTCTTTCCTATGGGTAGGATGAGAAGACACACACTTTCAATACTCACTGTTGTAATCAACTAAAGAAAGATGTGGTAAGCACAGAAGCCCAATCCAGTGTGATAAAGCACTTTACATAATAATAATAAATTATATAAACTATATATTATTTTATAATAATATTATTATTTTAAAATAAATGATATATTATTAAATATAATATATATATGTATAATATGTAATGTATTATTAAAATAAATAATATCTTATTTTATTATTATTTTTATTATTATGCTTTTCCTGAAAAATCCCATACTTTCATCTCCAAATAACTTGGGATGTTATTTTTCAATGCTTTATATATATATACTATTCAATAAGTCCAATAATTCTGATCTGGTATCAGTGTGTAAAATAACTACAACTGAGATAGTGAACAACAGAACAAAATGGCTGGACCCCTGTAAGAGCTGGTAGGAAGAGGAAAATCTGAACTGAATCAGTGGGAAGAGTAACTGTATGGAAAAGGACCAATCTCACTATGAAACCTATATAGATTTGGCCTAGAGATAATGGTGGTGTTCATCCCTTGATTTGTTACTACCTATTTTAGAAACGGTTCTACTAAAAGTAGAATGTTCTCCAAATGATCAAATGGCACCTAAGTTTGAAGTTGCTGCCATTCTGAAAGTACTTTTTTGTTACTATAGTTTATTTCATCTGAAATGAGAAATTGTCATTTTTAACATTACAGTCTGGCCTAAGATGAAAAGAACAAGATCTTCAAGATTCTCCAGCCATTATATCATTCAGTTTTGACTTTATCATCCTCAGAAGTTTTAAAAATACAAAAGGATGAAACTTTGAGTAATATGATCTTACCACACCACTGGCCCAGACTATGGCAAGAAGTTAGACTTCCTTGATGCCTTCCAACTTGGATTATCCTAAGGTTCTTAATTTGTGCTTCTTGTACTAATAATTGAAACTTCCAGTTGAGTTTAGCCCAAAAAACAGAAGCAGAATGTCAAAAAAGTAAAGCTCACTAAGCATCCTTAGGAAGCTATGGACATTTTGTTGAAAGTAACATGTGAACTGGCTTTTACTAAAGAAGGTTTTTGCTAATATCAGGACAGAGCTATGGCTCTTCAAGGTCAGAAAAGTAAGTAGAGATAAGCTGACTTTAACTGACTGGGTTTACAGTGAGGACAGAAGGGAGCCTGGATGCATAGGCTGAGGAGTGATGCTGTGGGCTGATGTGTGCTCACTCACATCTGTTTATGGGCTGATTTGTGATGCAGTGGACTGTTAGAGTCCTGCTTCAGATGTGTGTTATCTGTGTAGTACTAAAGTATGTACTGTTAAATTCCCCTTTCAGATATTTATATTCCTTCACTTATCTCTTTAGGTGATCGAAGGGAGAAGTGTGGAGAAGGGAAATTTGGAAGACTTTAGGAAAGACATTAAGTCAATATAGCATGGGAGATGCATAAGGGAAAAAAAAATTGTTATTTTGAAGAACAGCAGCAGCCAAGTGTTTGGGAGGCCATTCAGGTGCTTGAGTACGGGTATTTTGGAATGAGTATGAGATAGGGCCCCTGAGAAGTGTGTGCTTCTGGAGCCTTGCAAGATACCTTGGAGTTCTTGAAATAACTCTGGTGACCCTTTGCCATATGATATTACTACAAACTGGCAAATTTTGAGGCTTAGCAGAGCGTTATAGGGACTATAAAATAGAGCATTCTGGCTATAAAATGCAAAATTACAAAAAAAAGAAGAGAAGGAAAAGAGTCTCCTGGGAATTAGTCTGTTAAAACAGTCTAGGTTTTAAGAGCTGGAAAAGAGAAGCTGCTGATTTGTTGTGGAAAAAAATGATTGGAACATAAAATTATGCTTAACAACAAAATATACTTAAAATCTGAAAAATAGTTAATTTTCTGTATTTGAAATGAGTAAGTTTGATGTCGTGCCCAGTGTATTGGACTTTGGATTAGTCTTGTTTTTAAAGAAAATTCCTGCTTCTTGTCTTTTGGGACACTAGGAATGCTATATAAAGCTCTGTGGTACCTTGGCAACAGCAAAAGCAGATGAGCTAGAGGCAAAGGTTTTTGTTTTTACTTTTATGTGTTTTCTCTGGAAAAAAAGGCACATATGGGAAAAAAAAAAAAAAAAACAGGAAAAACCTGCTTTCATGCACTTATTTTTACTTGGCTGAAAAATAGAAAAGCTCTGATGAAGTATACCAAGTTGCATAAATTTCTTGGTATCTTCTCTACCATGTACAGTGGGAATATCCTGCAGAAAGCACTGGACATTATGAATGCAGCAACAGAGGTGGAATAATAAGAGGAAAAAACTGTAAATTCTGAAGTATTTTTGTTTCCAGGAAGATGAATTCTCCTGGAGCTGATTCTCCTTCACTTGCTTTGCTGTAGTGGAGGCACAGAAGAGTTGCTCAGCAGCTTAGGAAACACCACTTAAGGCTCCCTCATTGATGAGCACGTGAATGTCCTCTTCAGGTCTACATTACTGCTACCAGACTTCTTTGGCCCTGCTTAGCCATTCCTTTCTCCAAACAGCATTTTTCCTTGGTATCAGCTCTAAGTTCTCATGACTAGGTAAAATGTGAAGGTCTAATGGCCAAATAATGTTTATTCATGCTGCTTCCTTTGTACTCTATTTAATGTTGAGATTTGCTTTTCAAATGAATGGCTCTGTGCCCTGAAAGTACTTTGCTTCTAGCTTCTAGAGAACATTTTAACAGCCATTTAGGCAAAAAAGGAGATTTGCCTCCAGTGCCTCCAATTACAATCATGTTTATACAGTTATTAATGGCATTTGCAATAATGCAGCATTTTCTGCACGTTTTCACAAATGACTCTCAAAACTATGACTTTTGAGAAAAGGCTAAATATCTCCAGTAGATTTTACTCTTGAGTTGATCAGGCTCTACTACATTTTTACAACACACTTTGTGCTGCTGCAAGTAAGATTTCATCTTCAGATACAGATACAGTTATCCTTTCAGCATGCTGTGGGGTCTGTGCATGCAGATATCTGAAGGTATTGCACTCAGCATTTGTCTTTTCTAGAAGCTAGTAATAACAGAATGCCTTTGGTTCACTTAATGCCTCCCAAAAAAGCTTACAAAAATGGACATCTTCATCCAATAAATGTGCAGTTTCCAAACATCAAATTGGGCTCAGATTACAGAATAGGCTGGAAAGTATGATTAACTATATAATGGTTGATTTTCTTTTCCATTTCGTACTCTCTGAAGAACCAAGCACCAGACAGTTCCCTTGTCAAGGAGAAAGAAGTCTGTAAGTTTTTTCAATTCAGTGATAAACTTCAGAAAGTCATTTTGTCTTGCCCTTCCTGGGTCAAACTTGGCCACTTCTGCTGTTACCTGAGCAGCTGTGGCAGACATTTCATATTATTTTTGTGTCTCTGTTCCTGCCTTAGCCAATGTATGAAGCATTTGCAATTGGAAAAGTTAGGTTTTCAGATAAAAGGATGCAAATTACCACACTGAGTACATTGCAGGGGAAAGCTCAAAACCACATATATATACTTAAAATATGTGTGTATGTGAGAGAGAAAGAATAACTATAGTGAACCTCACACTGCATTGCAGTTATTTTGAAAAGCAGCACTGATAAAATCGGATATACACCCAAACATAGACTGTTTTCCTGCTGAAAACATAGCAGAACACCAATGACAATTTTTACGTGGAGGTGCACCGTATTTCTATGGCAATGCAGAATGAAGCATTCAAATAAATGTTGATAAGTATTTGGTGATTAACTAGATTGTATAAGTAGTCATGCGTTTTTCAACTCTGTGTGGTCTGGAAGGCTCAGGATACTTCTTCAGCTAAGAACTGGTGTGATGTGCAACACCAATTTACAATGAGTGTTTGGATTATGATCTTATTTTTGCCTTTTCATCCTTTGCCAGTGTTCTGAAATTAAACTGAGTGCTAATTTATTGCCCTCTGTTGTTAGCAGTAGGAGATGTCAGAGACTTTCTGGAATCTGATAGAGATTTGAGCACAGGTGATTGCCAAGATTTATCTATCTTCTCTTTTGAGATTATGAGTGCCAACACAAAAACATGGTGAGGATTTTGTTTGAAAGGTTCTTTTTTGAATACATGCCACAGCCCCTTTAGATAATTCTTGTACCCACAGCTAGAAAAGCAGAGATCCTTCTAAGCTTCTGCAGTCAGATGGTGTTGGGTTGTCACTGGGCAGCTATGTAGTATGACATGAGATCAGAGGTACTGCTCTGTCTGTACAGTGGTAAAAATTCATGGATCACATCTTTCCATACCTCATCCTTTACTGCAGCTCTGTATGAAACGTTCTACTGTGTCAGAGGAGGCAAATTTCCTTTTTCTATGAAAAAGGACAACCAAAACAGAAAATTTCTTGAGAAAAAAGATTTAAAATCTTCTTTTTTCTTTTTTTTTTTTCTTTTTCCCACAAATGAGTTGGGAAAAATAACAGGAAAGATTTTGGAGATGTAGTTTCTGATTCGGAACAATGTAGGAGATACACAGACAAGTAGCTCATGGCTCAGCATAAGGCCTGAGCTCTGTGGTCATCCAAATTATTATCTTTACAAAGTGAAGCAGCTCCAAAAAAACACTGAGAATGAAAGTGGCCAACTCACTACAGTATCCACCAGGAGCTTGCTTTAGAAGGAAGATGCCTCATTCAAAATTCTTAATTCTGTGGTGCCCATTCCCAGGCAGATTTCCCCTGAACAAGTGCACATGCTTTGGTTTCTTGCTGCTACAAAAAAATTCAAGATTCTTTCATTCCAGATGGAATTTCTTCCTTTTGCCCCTACCAACTTTTATGTGAAACAGAATTTCTACCTTCTGACCAGCTTAGTTAATTTTGAAAAATATTCTAATGTAAGTTAATCACATCCCATTTGAACTCAGGTACCTCCAATTTTGCAGGCACTGTAGCATATAAAGCTCTCTGTGGCATGCAGCAGTTCTCTGCAGCAGGCAGGAAAGTCTTGTGGCAGGCCAGGAACAGGTGGAGAGGAAATGAGGGGATGTGAGTTCTGGAAGAGAAGATAACACTGTTAAAGAAAACACTGGAGAAAAATTACTAACTGGAAGGAAGGAAGGAACGCTGGAAAGAAGGCAAGAAGGGAAATAGGGTTTAATCTCCCAAGAGAGAAAAGGTCTTGAAAGCAAAAAATGAATGAATAAGAATTTCTGTTTGAGTCAAATATACACCAAATGAATAAGAGTTTTTACCTGGGATTTCCATTCAAAATGTTATAAAACCTGAATTTTTTCACAAGTGCAGAAGACTGAAATTCCCAATGTCTTGCACAACACCATATTCACAGTTTGGATGCCAACTGGTAGACCAAGTCTATTATGGAAGGAAACAAATTGCTTTCTTGCATTTCTGAAAAAGACATTTCCAAAATATTGCAGGAAATGCATTCCCAAAACTGACTCCACTTTGTTACTTCTCCTTCCTTTTAGTTCTGGGAAATAGTCCTCTTGCTAAGCCAGCTGGCTGGAATTTCTTGGCTATGAGAAGACTTTTGAATGAAAAAAAAGTGAGAGAGAAATGATGTACGTAGAATGTGAAATCACGCAATCCATATCTCATGCAACATGTCTCTACCTGTGTTTTTACAAGCACGTTTAATATCCCCTCCATTCACAATTTACCTACTTCTCAGATTTGTTACGTAAGCTTAGCCAGGCTGGAATAGCATCACTTTGAAAATGAACTTGCAGCTCACCAAGAAAACAAACAAATAAAAGTAGAACCATCAAATTTTAAGTCAGCACCCTTCTTCTGTAAACTGCCAGTAAGTTTTTTTTCACTATGTGATTCTTTTACTTGCTGTAAATCTCTATAAAGAATGGTTTCTAAAAAGATAAGAGTTTTTATTAATTAATCTGCTCGTGAGGGCTACTCACAGATGCTCATTACTTGGATATTTCAGCATGAAATATAATAAATAAAATATAATACTTCCCAGGCAAAGGAGAAGAAGTAAACAAACATATAAGTGTTAATCATAATAGATGAACACATCACAAATGATTAACCACATATATATAATTTTTTGTAGGAATTTAAAAAGTGGGGACCAGGAACTAAGGGTTGGAGTCAGAAAGTCTGAGATGGATTGCCCCATAACAGAGGATGGCATAGAAATGTGTACAATAGAGCTGGGTGGGGTATAGTGATTACATAGAGGAGCATGTGTTTTACTTCTCTGACAAGATGCTAATAACCTCTATGCATGTGTTTCTCTATATTTCTGATTGCATAGAGAGAAAAGAGAACATTTTTATAAAACAAAAATTTAATGGTCACTCTTAGTTCCACAAACCATTTGCCTGCTGCTTTGCTGTTTACTTTGGGAAAAATGGTTTGTGATTTTCAGTGCCCAGTGCTGGAAGTAGCGGGCAGATCAAAACCTGTAGAATGATGCTATTATCGTCCTGTCTGTGTTAAACTGGGACCTGGTGCTTCAGTGGTAATCAATGTGCAAGAGCCCTGCAAGGATACAGGCAGGTTTTGCCTCAAAGAGCCTATAGTCTAAGCAGAAACCAAATGTAATGGAAAGAGTGAAGAATATAGCCCATTTTAGAGAAAGAGTGCTGAAAAATATGAGAGCCAAACCTACTGACAATGTTTTCAATATTTTCATCCTCCCGCATGGAGCCAGGAATTGGATTCAATGATCCTTATGGGTCCCTTCCAACTTGGGATATTCTGTGGTTCTGTATTTAAGGATCAGGTCCCACCTTTGAATTATGAAAGCCTCACAGCTGCTTGCAGCAAAGCTCAGCTGCTCCCAGCTTACTGGCCTGCCTGATGTCTGCAAGCAGTTAACTGCCCATCCTTTGTGCCCTGTGACCCCAGAGCAGCAGTCTTTTGGGTAGTCAACTGGCAGATCATACAGCTGCAAGGAAGGGAAAAAGCCCTTCCAGGGTTATGGGGATGCAGCTCCCAAATAACTTGCAGGAACATTGCAGGAGGAAAACCTGCTATAGCCAGTATGCCTCTGTGCATACATATGTAGATCCTGTTAATATCAAAATGACCTTGAGCTCTAACCACAGCTTGCTCTCCTTATTGCTGAGTTTATTGCAGATAATGAGTGAGAAATGGATTTCTGCATTTAGGAAGCTCCACTCTCTGGTAATTCATGAGCTTGAAGCCTGGCTTTGTTTGCAGCACCCTCATCATGCTGGCATACCTGAGCGTGCAAGGCTTAGCACTGGAGGGTCTGTAAATCTGAAAGTTCCTCATTATTTGCAGGGATCACAAAGACAAGCCCAGAGCTGCTGAATCAATCTGAAGAGTTGATATACAGGGAAGGTAAATATAGCACAGCAGCAAAAAGAAGTAAAATCCACCACTTCAGCATATTTGCAGAGTCCTGAAGCAGTTTGTAATGGATCAGATTTTCCATGATGTCTGAATACTCTGGGCTGCTTATCATCAGAATGGAGACAGCTTGCTTTCAGCAGGCAACTTTGTTCCTTGTGTTATTTTTCCTTTTCTTTATCATCTGTGTTCCTTTTGTGTCTGTTCTCTACTGTCTGGGGCTTGCAGTGAGGTGCTGGACCATGGTCAGTGTTCTTCAGCCTCACTATGCTAGCATTGCTTCTAAGTGAATGTTGTATCACCCCTGTGGTGATATCTAGCAGGTGTAACTTTGTGGGAGGACAGCAGCCTGCAGTGTCTGTATTTAGTGTTCTTGTTGCATTGCTTATCCTGTGTTTTCTTGCTGCAGTAGTCCCCACCACCTCCAGGCTGTTACACCACAGGGCTGCCCCCTCCTCCTTCCAATACTAATTTGGAGTTCTCACTGTTTCCCTTATAGGAGCCTGAATTCATGGGGAGCTGGATCAGGGGGCTCCAGTTTAAACAGGGTTTGATGTGAAACTGTACCCTGAGCCTGTATCATATCATAGAATCAGCGAATTGAATAGATTGGAAGGGACATCAAAGACAATTCAGTTCCACCCCTTGCTGTGGGCTGGCTGCCCTCCACCAGATCAGGGCCCAAGGCTCATCCAACCTGGTCCTGAACACCTCCTGAACACAGCCTCTCTGGTCAGCCTGTGCCACTGCCTCAATCCTCTGTGTAAAAAATGTATTTATTATAAATTTACTATTTCTAACAACTAACCTAAATCTCCCCACTTTCAGTTTAAAACCATTCCTCCTGCCCTTGTAAAAAGTCATCCTCTCTCCTAATTATAAGCTCTCTTCAAGTACTGGAAGGCTGCAATGAAGTCTCCTTGGAACCTTTTCTTCTCCAAGCTAAATAAGTCCAACTTTGTCAAAATATCTTCACAAGAGAGGTTCTCCAGCCCTTTGATCATCCTTCTGGCTATCCTCTGGACCTACTCCAAGAACTCCATGTTTTCCTTGTGCTGGGGGCCCCAGGCCTGGATAAAGTACTCCAGATGGGGCTTCACATGGGCAGAGCAGGTGAAGATCCCCTCCCTTGCCTTTCTACCATCCCTGTTTTTGATACAGCCCAGGATACGGTTGGCCTTCAAGGCTGCAAGCACATACTGCTGGCTCATACTTTTCTATTTGATCATTGTGATTTCAGACCAGTCTCTATTGGACAAACCAAACCCCTTCTCTATACAATGCTCACTAAGGGATGTCCTCTTCCTTATCTGTGCTAGGAGAAGGGCTCATCCAGCTGTCTGGTCTCAAAAGGTGAAGATACACATGGCAATGTCATTTTAAAGCATTACTGCCTCACCTCTCCCTAGTCTGCCCCACTGCATGTTACCAATTTAGTGTTGTAGAGTGTGACTTTTTTGCAGATGTCACAAGAACTCAAATGGTATCACCAGCTCAGGAAATAGATTCACTTCAAGAAAAGTCACTTTCCCTGATCAGAAATGCCATACAACAGCACAAGGAGAAGAAACAGAAAAGCAACTGCACCGCAGATCCACTGTGCAAGGAGAAGCTGGAGGCTTCAGGCATCTGCACCCATAGCCACACCAGCTGTGGAGGATCAGCTGAGGATGGCTTCTGCCTCCACTTTGAGGCCCTGTTTGTTGGCAGTCACACACCTGCTGAGCAGGAGCACACGTTTCATGTGTGTGTGTGTAAAATTTCAAGTATGCAAGAAGGAAGAGAGACCAATGTTTAGATAAGGCAGGGGAAATCCAAAAGTTAAGAGTGGAGGGAGGGTTCTAAAAACCACTGGTGACAAAAGAACAAGCCTGGCTTTTAAAGAAAAAAAAACAGGTTTTAAATGGCATTTTGACAGAAAATATTTATTCTCTCTCTTTTAAATTTCATATTGATTAACATTGCTAATGAGCTCAGGTGTACATTTATTGCTGACTTGGTTACTGGGAGGGAATGTGTTTGTTTTGAAAGCAAAGCTCTATTCATTATTCCTGGATTTGCAGTAAGATTTTTTTTTCCTACTCTCACTCTGAAAACAGTGGGGTTTGGGTTTCTAACAGCTTTTTGCCTACTCCTTTCCAGGAAGAAATACATTATCTAAAACTGACTGTTCCTAAGCACAGAAATTTAGCTTCTTGATAACTAAAATTCTTCCCAATTCCTCTTGTTTTCTATCTGGGAAAGGACTTTAAACATGGTAACACTTGCTCTGAGAATACAGCTTAGAGGATTTTGTTTTTCCTAGTGTAGATATGATATCCTTAATTTGGGAAGCTCTAACTCAAGAGGAAAGGCTGGGCTTTTCTGTTGGGTTGGCAGAACAAAATGTTCAGGTAACTCTGACTTACTCACTTAATCTTGTTCTAGCACGTACAGAGCTCAGTGGAAAACCTGACAGAAATGTTCTGGAGATGTCTCTGCTCTGGCTATCCCATCATCTTTATTAACTTAGGTACACTTATCTCTTCTCTTTATGTTTGTCCTTTTCAGACTGAAAAGACAGATATATTTTAGAAGTTTCTGGATGATTCTGAAGTGTAAAGATGATTCTCTTCAATTTTTCCTTAGTGAATTTCCAGAAAAAAAAAAAGCAGCAAAGATTGTAACCATGTGACAGACATTACACAATATCCTGATAATTCAGATTTAGAGATTCTGCTATAAAAAGAAATATATTATTTTCTAGCTCTGTTCAAGCTTCTCTAAGAAAATATGTACAACTGCTAAAGATAAAAACACATTCTAATCTTAGGAGATGGCATCTGTATGATTATATACAACGTATAAAACCAAGGATTCTAATGACAAACTTTGAACTATTTTGGCTGCACAACTATTTTGTTATTACCGTTACTATACACAGCTTACTGCTTACAATACTGAGTAATGGAAAATGAGTAGCATATATTTCAACATTTGGTCCTTTTGTTATACCATTCTAATTACAATTCCAGTTCTAAGCTTTATTTTTTTATAAGCATCTTATAAATCTTGCTTTCACTGTCTTTTTTCATTTTAATATAAATATCAGAAGGAAACCAATACAGTTGTTCAAAGGTGAACTGAAACCTTTCTTTGTTACACAAGAAACAACTCAGAAGGTTTAGTCTTTGCCATTCAGTCAGTACAGATGAGACAGGTCAGCAGCATGAGGTACAAACAAATCCACACTGTGACACAAAGTTGACAATCAGAACAATAAAAAGTGAGAAAACACTGATGGCGCACAGAAAGAATTGTCACTGCCTTTTCCCTGGTTCTTGTTAGAAAAGTTCTCAGCTGAAAATGAAGTTAGCTGCTTGCACTTTCTGTTCTTTCATAGCTAAAACAAATGGAACACACTGACTGCCCTCCAGACAGATCATTTTCCTCATGTAGCCCATACCCGACAGTCCCCGTGTCTTTGGCATTCTAAGCACACTGAAATAAAGCATTTTTTTTTCTGTAAATGTTTCACCTCTGCAAAATCTGCCAAGCTAGCATGCCGCATCAGTGATAATTATTTTCTTCTCTGTTCCTGGAATGTTAATGATGCCAGTTCTTTTCTAATGAACTAGAAACATATTAAGAATTCAAGAAGCGGCTTCGAAAAAGTAACAAACTACTGAATTTAAATAATGACAACTTTTCATATGAAAAAGAAGTGAAAGCACGTACCTTGACTGCAAATTTGCTACCGAGGAAGTACAAACAAGTGAGTGCAACACTTCTCAGTGAGCAGCCACGCTCCTTCTGTTGTATGAATGAGTGTAACTTCTGGTTTTCTGCCCCTCCCTGAACAGAGCAGACTCATCCCTCTGTTAATGACATCATATTCCTGGACTTTCTGCTGTACTGTATTTCACTTCAGGAGTGCAGCTTGTTTACTGTAACCAGCACGAGACCACTTGTATTTGACTAGGGGTGGTAAACAGTACAAATCAAGTTGAAATAATGACATCCCACAGAGTGTGCATGAAACAGCCATGCATGTCTACAAAGAGCCTCAAACATGTATATGTGTGAGCATACACACATACAACCTCAATCCTGATTTCAGGTGATGGTGTATTTTACTTTTAACTGCTGTTAGACATAACTGAGAGCTAAACAAGCTAGATTCTTGCAAGATTCAAATCTTTAAAACTGAAAATAAGAAATAGCTCATTTATGATCTTACATTGTTCTCTTTCATGGGAAGAAATTTAGTGTTTATATTTCTCAAAAACAAAGCGCATTGCTCTTCCTCAGCAGAAATCTCTGTGTGTACAGAAATCTCAGTCAGCTGAGAACAGAAATTCCAAATACCATTTAAAGTTTTAAGCATTACCAGAATTTCTCCTGGACTTTGGAAGAAACGTCAGTAGGAAACAGAGTTATACACAGAGAGAAGAGTCTTTTTCCTTTGACAGTGATTTTATTCTGAATTTGAGATCACAGCAGAGCTGATTTTTCCGTGTCTGTTAGAGGCATAGCTGTTTTTCTTCTATTTATACAATTAAACTGAAGCCTGAAATGGCAGCTATGGTTGCAGAATTCCACACAAAGAATACATCTTCATTCAGAGGAAAAATTAACGAAGAACAGCCTGCTCTCTCCATTTCACACACATTACTAATTCTGAAAGTAAACAATTCAAGAAAAAAACTCAGAGCTAACTATAGTCTATGTGCTCTATTTTGTGACCAATTTTATCTACCAAAGCATTTGATCCCTACTTTCCACTCCTTCATTTACTGTTTTAAAATAATGCCCATATTTCTCCCAGCAGAAATAAATACTTTGATTTCCAATCATTTCCCTTTTCTTTTTTCTGAAGCTGTTCTAATACAAATAATACATTTTCTTTCTTTACTGCTGAAAGTTGAGTCATGCTTTCTTATTAACCATGTCTTCTGCTCCATCCCTGTTTCCCTTGCAATAGTTTTAGCTTGATCACAAAATCCCCAAACTCAAATCTTCCAAGGTCTTCATCCTGAATTCCTCATCAAGTTTTAACTTCAAAGTCTTAAATAAAAATTTTAGAACCATATTTAAGAGTTTCTTCCTTATTTCTTTCCTCGAACATAGCTTTAACTTAATCTTGCAACTATAGTACTGCAAACTCCTGCTTTGTTTTCAAAATATCTTTTATTTGCTCAAAAGAAGGATTTGGCAAGCTCATTTGTAACAGTATAATGAACCCCAGCTGCAGAGAGATCTACTCTGCTAAATCTGGAGAGTGCAGGTGGCCTTTTGAGGAGCAGGTGTGGGGAATTCTACCCTCTCCATGAGGTGCTGCCAGTAGCTAGTTGGCTACAAACACTTACTTCTGAAAGGGGGAAGGTTGAACGGCTGCAACAGGCCACAGCTGAGAGTCATAACTTGTAATTGTGGAAGCTTTAATCAGCTTGAATGTGGTTACCTGTGAGCATTATTGCTTGGTTAGCATTTTGCTAGAAAATTGGAAGAGAGGATTGCTGAGTATTTCCCTCCACTAACTTAAAGAACAAATGGTGAGTAAATGAATATGATGAGAAAATTAGTTAATTTGTTATTCAGGCCTGTTATAAGTGCTTTCTTCTGGGAGGAAATCTTGCTTAGTGATTTTACTGTTTGTTTGTTGCCCTTTTTCTAAGAGTGTTTTTCTCTCTCTCTGGCTATACTGCTAGCAGTCTTTGTATACCAGGGTTTGGAAGAGATACCAGGGTTTGGAAGAGGGCGGTAGTTCTCTGTTTCTGGTAGGGAATTACAGCTTTAGTTACTGGTAGTTGATCAGGAATCCCTTAACAAATAGAAGACTTGTGTCCTTCTTCCCGTAGGTGGGAGAAGCTGTGCTCAGATCTTCTATTGCTTTCAGGGGATATTAAATGTTTTGTGTGTACGTAGGTCAGGATCTTAGAACAAATTTTTTCTTACAGCTATGTGTGTGTATTTGCTTCCTGTAAAAACTCCCTGTCTTACCCAAGACTTAACGATTAAAATAATGACTGGAGAGACTTAGCTATCTTCTTCATAGTATCTTGTTATGTCTTATTTCCTTACCCTTGTCTAAATCTGGTGCTCTAAGATAAATCGTATCTGGACTGTTCTTCATCATCAGTGAGACTTTTGTATAATCACTGAGCAGTAGTTGTTTTGCTTGTATTTTAGTGGAAGTATTCACCCCTTTTGGTCAGCTGCATTTTTCTGGAAAAATAACTTTTTTTCTTTTGGTCTCCTCTGTATTTCTCACCTTTCAAAGAAAATGTGTTTATTTTAAAACTTTATTTTTCTTGTTCATGTAGAAATGCTTTTTCCCTACAGCAAAGAGTTCTTTTTTCTTTTTTGTATCATAAGGGATGTTGATTTGTCAGCAGTTGGAAGCTGTGTGAGGCTACTGAATGGTTGTAAGGGAGTTAGGTTTGAGAATCTTCTAACAAGGTGAAGATTGGCTACAGATAAAATATTGACAGAGAAGCAATATTAGTTGTGGAAATAAGGGAAAAACACACACAATCTTTTGTTTGAAAACTGGATTTGCTGTGTGTGGTATCATAAAGCATACAGTCAGAACCATACCTCTTCAGCTCTGTGAGAAGGCATTCATCTTTAGAATTAGTAGAACTGATCTCAGCCTACCTCTACAGAAAACCATAGAAGGACTTGAATGCTGGGGTGTTATCTTAGCAGTAAAACTACTCTCAGCTGGATAGCCTGGGTTTGTATCTGCATTGTATGATACCAAACAAGTGATATTAAAGTAAATGAAGGAAGCAATGGACCCTGGTTTTCTTTCCATGTGGGCTGTGGCAGGTAGTACTATTGGGATGAGAATGTCCATCTGTATAAAGCAGAGGCAATTCTTTGTTTTTTTTTCTTTTAAACTTGTGTGTGTGACATAACTATGAGAGGAAACATCATTGTAAATGAAACTCTTGGTCCTGCTTCTTCTCTGACGTGGACTGTAACTTGGCACTAATAAAGACAATGTTATTGCCTTCAGAAGGAGCTAGAAGTCGAATGTCTTATTTTGCAACTCAGTTAAGTGGTCATTATGTAGATCCATTCCTACAATGACACCTGACATTTCTCTTTCACTGAGTATTGACTTAATAGCTTTTTGTTCTTGAAGCCTGCCTTCCCTAAAGAAGTTGATGGGTAGAAGAGAGTCTATTTCCTATGAGCTTAAACTGCTTATATTTTAAGAGCTAATGGGTTTTCAGTCAAAAGCAGCCATATACCTCAGGGAACAAGATATTCTGCTTACGTTCTTCTTCTGTGATCTATATGAAGACTATACTGACCTCCCTGATTTGGTGAACGACAGCTCTAGTGAAATAATATGGATCCCCACAACAGTCCTTATAGCTGTTCAGATCCATGCATGCTAATGTACATGAAAGGAAAGTTTAGTTGATGCATTGGTAGTACACACAATAAATTATTGGGCAGTTTGTTTTTGTAAAGCTTTCTATGTGCCTTTATGTTGGTTCTTGTTTTCTTTCATCGTTAGGTTGGTACATTGTTATGTATGTCTTCCTCTAGCATCACTTTGCCAGACTCCTGGTAACAGATTTTCCACCAGCAGAAGTTGTTATGAATACATAGGATTAAATATGACCCCGAGAGCTGTGAAATACAATAGTGTTTGCTCAGAAGTAGAGGAAATGCTGATTGGCAGGAAAGTATTTTCCCCTTTCCTGAGACTTAAATGTCATGCTGAAAGTTGATAAATGGATAGCTTAATCCCATCTTGTCTCTTGATCAGACCAAACTTCTGAACTTCATTGCCACGCGTTAATCTGTGAGATGGTTTCACCTGCTCCAATGGATCTTTGTCTGTCAGTCCCAGAGATGAGTGCAATGTTTCAGGTGGGTTTCATGAGAGCACAGCAGAGAGGGGATAATCACCTCCTTCACCCTGCTGGCCATGTTTCTTTTGATGTAGCCCAGGATACCATTGGCAATGTGCATTTGCAACCCACAAAGCCTCTTAAACAGATGTAGTTGCCATCATTCAGTAAAACCCAAGCTAAAGATATGGATAGCAAAGACTTGATGATCACAGTAACTAAATCCAAGAGTAATAGCTCCAGATAGCATTGGAGTTTTAACTATTGTCACCTTATAATAGTGACAAATGGCTGGCTGTGACTAATTCCTACCACAGCGAGCAATAAGTGTGACTCCATCTGCTTTTTCTGACTGCTTCACAATTAGAAACAATCAGCAGTAATCCCTGCAATAACATGTTTGGCTTCCTTCATTGTAGGGATTTATTGCCTTCTGGGTGAAGTACAGAAACGGACAGAAAACCATTGAGTTGTAACAAAACTCTGTGTGAGATTGTAAAGGAAGAGAAGATCATTCTTTTTACTGGGTTAGTTAACACCATACTTTCATATTTGTGAAAACCCAGGTGTGTATGCCCAAGTAGTCTGACTGGGATTGTGTGTCATATGGGATGTGGAACTCTGGCTACTGAGCCTCTGCTGTATCTTCCAATTTCCTTCAGACTGATCATGATAATCTAGTTTTTGAACATGCATTTATGTAGCCATGGCGACCAGTTGTTACTGTGGAATGATCTTTCATCTTAGAGTTCTGTTTATTTTACCCTTCAGAAGTCAATGTGATCTCTGCCTGATTTCTTCTGTCTTCTCATTTTTTTTTAATATCTTTTTGAGATCTCCTAGAGAAGGTCCAGCAGAGGACCGTAAAGATGATGAGGGGCCTGTAGCACGTCCCTTGTGAGGAAAGGCTGAGAGACCTAGGTCTGATCAGCCTGGAGAAGGCTGGGAGGGGATCTTGTCACTATT